CCCGACGCTGGCGCGCGCGTAGGCACGCACCCGTATAATAAAACTTTCCTAGCTGTATCGATCGAATCGGAATATAATTTCGAATATTGTTTTGAAACTGTAGTACCACCTAATAATTTATACGTCTTGATTAAATATTCGTAATAACTATCTGCTAATCCACCAAAACTGATAGCACCGTTCAATTGTTGAGAAAAAGGTGAATTTGGTGTAAACCATAATGGTACCAAAGGTGGATGAAGGACTCTTGGAATAATACGATTTTCGATAAAATCAATTGCTCTTTGTGATAAATCAAACCATTGACGATCTTTTGTTATTTGTGAAAGTCTTATAAGTTCAAGTGTCATACTTCCTACTTCTGCGGCTGAAACGCTTCCTAATCGAAATCCACCAGGTGAACCAGGATCAATACGTCCTGCTGGAAGTCCTGAATCGGTATCGAATGCTCTACCTAAGATATGGGCGAGATCGATAGCTCGATCGAGAAGTAATTGATCACCAGTCAAGTCGTAGGCTCCTAAAAGTCCACCAAGATAACGGATACCAGTTTCGAATACCGGTAAACCGATGTTATGATCACGATGGATGGTAAGGGGTTGAGAGGAGGAGTCAGGGTCGGTAGTCGGAACGACCAGAGTTGGGGAAATGTATGGGTGACGCCAATCACGACCGGAGATCCAGTGGAAGTTGAGTTGGTTTATGTGTGGTCGACATAGTGTGTATTCTTCAGGGAAACCGAGGAGGAGGAGGGTGTCGAGGGAATCGATGATGGTAGCGCCCCAGCTGGTTGTGAGTGGAGTTTCTTAGAATGACAATGGACAAGTCATATGTGACTGAGTCACCAAGGGAGGGAAGGAAACTCCCACTCAAGATAACCAAGGAGTCGAGGGGAGATGACGGCACGAGGGAAATAAAGTGGGAATGACAATTTACATAGGCATTGGGATCACGTCGGAGAGGAGACGGGAGAAAGAGACGTGACAGGAGAAGGAATATGGGGGGGGGGGGGGAAGTCAGGACGTTTGGAAGAAGATAAAAGGTACATACTTGTTGAAAGGATTACTAGGTTGTTGCGAGACAGGTTTTACTTCATCATGACCTGGAGGTTAATTTGAGAACCTCTTGAATTGTGTAGATATCGTCCATGCGTACTCTGATCGAGCACGATAATCACGACCACGGCTTTGTAGAAGAATAAAAACGTTAGTGACTCACCCCAAGCATGATCTTTATATCCTTGCCAAGCATGTATAAAACCTCTTCTAACAGCTTGTTTCCTTTCTTCTCTTAATTTTCTCCTTTTCTTACTTTCTCTCCATTTCTTCATTCTTTCTTCATTTCCTTTCCCACCCTTCCCACCCTTCCCACCATGTTTAACATCTTCCACCTCCGTTCCTATCCCATCAAAACCTTCCCACTGAACTTTTCTGATCTCTCCCCTTTCTTCATCCCAAACTTTAGGTTTCTCCCAATTTCTAGCCCAAGAATCTTCCGAGACGTAATACCCAGTTCCAGTGACTTCCTCTTGAGTGGAAGATAAAACCTCATCTAATTCGTTTTCCGGGAAAGGATTTTCTTTTGGTGGACGTATGTTTTCCAAATCGATTTCCGGTAAAATAGTATTAGGTTCAGGTAAAGAAGTTGGATGAGGAGTAAAAGGTGGGATATTCGAAGGTATATGATGAGGAAAATAATGATCTCCATTTACTATTATGTATTCTTCTTGTTGTTTTGTATCATCATCATTCCCTCCATCTGAATTTGATGAGTTGTCATCGAATGGGAAATCTTCCCAATCATCTTCCATGTCAGATGA